AGGCGTAGGTGGGTGTATTTGGCCTGGATGCAGTGCCAACGAAGAAGCGATGAAAACCAAAAGGTATGCTACGTCTCACAAATTTTGGAATGTGACAACATGTATGCCATTTGTCATTCCCGCGACATTCGAATACGCAAATTCGCTTCGATGCGACTATGAAGAACCAAATCAAGAGAAAACCATAGACATCCTATTCGAATCACTGGAGCTGTTAAACGGGAAGTCTCCAAAACAATAACTAAATAGGGAAATTGTGACAAACCCGCGCTATCCTATCAATAACTACTTCGAAACTTGGATGGCCGCTCTTCACTGGCTGTGCGGGCCCCAGCATAATTTTCGTGTTTTCGGAGTTTTGCTGGTATAGCCATTGTGATTCCGTGCAGTCCCGAGGTCAGCCATGCAATTAAACCCAGGCCATCACCTTCACAGGCAGTTGACGCCCTTGTGGATCAGAGAAAGATTTGCCACTATGCGACTAATTTGATACCAGGGCGGCAATGTAACCTGGAGTTAGTTTATTCTTAGCTGGACCTTCTGATATGAAAATGCTAAACTCCTTCTCACCCTGAGAGACACTGCTACGGGCTGAATTCCCCCACTGTACATCGCAGCCCATCACCCAGGTACACCTCCCAACCACCATGAGGCGGTAAACCGCTAGGAGGATAAAGTGTTCATTGTGGATTTAATCTTTCGTGTCAGACAATTTGAAGCAGAGAATTGGAAAGAAAACCTCAAAAGCAGGTCGGAAAAGTGATTTTATGAATAATATTCGTTGCTGTAAAAGAAAAATCCTAAAGGGATTTCTAAGCCTGTCCTCCGACTTGGCATTCCACATTGTAGTCAAATTTTTCAGGATTGCAAATAAAAATTGAGTTTTCAATGTTGGCTTGGAACTTTGTATGGGAATGGAATCCGGAGCGATCATAATAAGAGTGGCTGATCTACCAAATTCGGAGTGCCAAGGAAAACATTGCCTGAGAAATTTTCGAATGATCGAATTCCACGACAAAGAAGATTTAGAAAGTAAATTTGTCGTCGACACAAAGAATGAAAAAACTGCTCGAGAAGCTCGCATTGATTTCGCCCTGCAAAAGATTAGATCACCACTTCTTATGGCAAGGAAACGCTCAGAATAGCAATGATGTGTACAACTGTTTATCTTTTTGAACCATGCTGTGCTTCTTCAGCGGTAAAAAGGAAACTGTCCTTGGTCCGATGATATAAGAATCAGGTCCGAGCTCTTGCGGAACGTACTGTCTCTTTACTCTCCGGACTAGTTTTCTTTTGCCAGCCGGAATGGGAGACTAGGAATTGGTAAAAACAATCAGTAGGAGTTAGAGCCAAGGAGAGATCTATACGACGGCAGCAACCATCGCCCGATCTGTTAGCTGTCTGCCTTCCGAAGGCCGGCTCATCATCAATGGGAGTGTTGCATTATTTACTGAAAGATTATCATGAGAATAAATGGAGTATTGAAAGCATTTTAGCACAATGGATAGTATCCACGAGATAAGGAAACTCGTTGAAATATCTCAAGAGTACAAGGTACCACTTTGCCGAGCTGACTTTCACTAACTTGTATCAGTCTTAAACTCAACCGAAGCGGAAGTGGTTGTAAACAAGGACCCGCCATGAACTGCACCGCAATATCGAAACAAAAAATTCACCATTCCATAGCAGTGTTATCATCAGCGAAAAGGGAGGTGTCCGACAGGGCGATACCATTTCGCTAAAACTACTTAGTACCTCTGTTTAGAACACCATGTAAGGAAGCTTGAATTCGACAAGACAGGAGTGTAGGTTCACAACCAAAAGCCAACAGCATCTTCGTTTTTGTTTACGCCATCGTCTACGTACATAAAAACAAGTGTTAGCCAAGCAATACACGAGCTGATTTAAGTGAAACTGTTAAAAATTTGGTCTTTGATTGAATCCGACAAAAATCATGTTCACGAGAAACGCCGTTCTTTCTGAAGCTCCATAGCCTCCTAGCGGGTAGAAGATCTGCTGTCGTTTCACCTATGCGTGTTTAGGTCGAGAATTCAACATGATGGATGAATTTAGTTCACAAACGTAGTGAAGAATGGGAATAGAATTCCGCTCTTTAACAACTTTTCACTCAACTATTCTTCCTGATCTACTGTACTTCTCAGACAATTGAGACATCTGTAAAAACGATAAGAGTGAGGTCATCATCTTCGAGAGTGTTACTGAAAAGTCAATGGTTCGAATTTCTAGCTTTAATCGGGTGACAAAACAGGTCCATAATAACGGACTACAGTTTCCGCTTAAGAACATGATGTTCACATTCGTGATCTGTCTAAACCTGGGCGTCAAAATGACTCATAATCGATATCGATAATTGATCGATAGAACTAGCTGAGAGACAGGCGAAACGAAGGACCCGCGTGGTGTTGTGGTGAACGCGCTACTCTCCGGAAAGGACAATAGCGTGTTCGTTCCCTACCGCAGACACCTGCGATCCGGAGTTTTGCAAATATCTCAGCATCCTTAAAGTCATATTTCGCAGTATATACCCTGCCGTTAAAAAGAGTAGGCAGTGGATAATAAGTTAGAAGATAATACAAACGATGATAGAATTGAAGTTCGATAAAACTCAGGTTAGGATTTCCGGAAAATCTTTGAAAACACTGTAAAATCTGGAGTTGTTTAGACCACGAAGTCGTACTCTCTAGCACACTACAGTTACTCTGCTTCGCAACTTCTTGGTGAGGTGAAGCTCACCTCTACCTACTCTGCAGGGTGTAATACTATGTCTTCAAAATAAAAAAATAATTCGTAGAAAATTTCATTAGAAGCGAAGTCGGTCCTTCAAAGACAGCCTTTCAGCTTTTATGCAATAGATTCCCATAAGGCGTATAAAGCTCTATCTAGAGCCAACTGCGTTTAAGAAGGATTAGAAGTTCAAATACAGAGGTAGAACATAACAGATGAGCTAATACTCAACTCATGTGCGATGTATTGATACCGATACACGATTCTGTCGGCTTAACCAATAAAACTGAAATCAGCGCCCAATTTGTCGAGAGGCAGTGAAATTCCTAAATCGGACATCAACGTAACGTCCGCAAAGCTGTGAGTGCTGCGAGCCAATACTTTTGTGAAAACGTGAAAACCGTTGCTAGTTGCCATAAATGCTCCGTTCTCTTTTGCTTTCGTCGCTGAAATTTCTTCGATGGAACCCATGGTAGCATTTTTTGGCGCTTCTCCACCACACTTTTAGAGTGGTGTGTTGCAAGCGTTCCGAATTTCTCTGTAAAGTTTACGAAGCCTTTCTTACCTTTTTCATTTCTTCCGAATTTTTAACTCAGTGAAACATTCGTGACGTTTAGAAGGAACGGTGAATAAAACAAGAAGTATATTCGAGGTAATTTGTTTTATGGTCTCATTTTTGAGCGTTATTATGTGCCAGAAAGGAAATAAGTCTTATATCTTCACGACAACGTAGTTCTTATTTCTGGAGCAGGCGATGCTGAAGGATTGAATGCGACGGACGTCGTTGCGCTTGACGGCGGCATGCAGTAGATCGTAGTTGGAAACGCGCTCCAAATTCTCCTTGTTTTCTTCATCCCTCTGTATGCACAGTACGGTCCGTAAATGTCGTCAGTCGACTAAAGCTAAAAGTATCTATGCAATATTTCTATATTATCTTTTCGATTAAAAATACAAGGCAATAAATGAAGTACAAAAAATACATAAACGGTGGCGGGCAGCGCAGTGGTAATAATACCTCATCACAAGTTCGGCGTTGGTTCGATCCCACTCTGGGCTCACCAAACCTGTCATTCCTTCGGAGTCGGGATACCAGACTTGTATGGCAACAGATCACTCTGCGTAGTCCAAGTAGGACACTCTAGGAGCGGGTATCCAAGGACTTTTATTGACTCAATTAAAATTCAAAGATATTCATGAATAAGACGGCAATAATCACGGAGCAGCCGAACCTCAACGCCAAACGTTCGCAGACGTACATGGGGTGATGAATACGAAAAAATGAATCGAATGAGAGATGTGCTGAGATACGTCTGATGTTGCAAGCTGCGATACGAGCCGTCTTCGCATCTACTGCGTGGATTCCCGCACTTCTTGTATTCGATTCCTATTCCCACAGCTATCAATCACGAAGTTGTGCAAACGTTTTGCGTGGGAGTTCGGCTGCTCCATGGCAATTGTCGTTTTCTTCATGAAGATTGTTGAATTTTAGTCGAATCAACTTCCTCTGAAGTTCATGGATATGTGTGACCCTACTTGGACAGCGGGGAATGGGCTGTTCGCAAACAGGTTTGGCACCTATTTCCCAACTCTGAACGAATGACTGGTTTGGTGAGCCTGGAATGGGATCGAAACCGCACCGTACCTGTGATGAACGGCACAACAAGCAGTGCGCTCCCCTATCCACCCCTTAAACGATATAATATTGTGGACAAAATTCTTTCTAAACAAGTTCAAACAGCCTGATTACTAGTTTTCGTGATACATTTCACATCACTTGAAACGCCATATATTAATCGACAGCTTTTATATGTTCAATCACCAATGTTGTAATTTAGTTTGCTTTCTATAAATGAGAATGAGGGCGTGTTGCGCAGTGGTAAGGGGCGCCCTGCAACACATATGTGGAATCGATCCCCGCGTCTATGGCTCACCAAGCCCTCCATTCCTCAGGAAAAGTCGGCAAATTTGTACCAGGCTTGTCTGGTAGAATAGCAGCACTGGTTAGAGATATGGATAGGCTACTGCGAGTCATTATAAAGGCCAGATATGCATTCGATTCCCTCCAACGATGATTAATGAAGTCAAATGCATTGTGCATCCCTGACGGATTGATCAATGCCTAAAGCTTTATCCTTTATCCTTTTTTAAATGAGAATGTGGAAGTAATTCTGTTCACTGCCAAGACTGGACAAAGTCAGTACTGCTGCATATGGCTGCTTAAAAACTAGTTGGAAGATTTATGTAACGTCGATCCTTTAAATGAACAACTGGTAGCAATGTGGATTATACCTATCGGAATCGGGCGTACAGTTGAAAAGCTGGAAAATGAAATAATTGAAGCCCATTTTCTTAAGCACTTCGTGCACTTCAGTTAGTGGCTTTCTGCTGAACATCGAGTACATCTTCTTCGTCTGATCTCTAATGCTCAAAAAAATTATTCGCAACATTTCATTTCCTATGAAGGAAATAATAATATAGAAGCTAATCAGTGATCACCTGATTCCTGCATCCTCATAATGAGGATGACTGACGATTGGTCGAAGCGTAGCCAGCTTTAGATTAGCCATTACAGGCATTGTCCCAATGAATACGGTGTCTAAACAACTACGCAGACGTATGAACAATTAAGAGTGGTCGTGTAAAAGAAGGAAAAGTAGGGAAAGCTGTTAAATTTCGATTCCTTGGTGTGGTGAAAACCATGGAGCTGTGATTATGAAACAGAAGAAGGGCAATGTTTTAACATTTGCCTACTGCCTCTTCTTTTTTTTAATTGCAGGGCATTACGTGAAACACGACAGCAAGGATGCTCAGATAAGAACGAAACTTGGAACTTCATGTGCGCTTCGAACCCGCGATTATCCTTTCCGGTGGTCAAAGTGCTATCCACGGTACCCATCGAGGCCTTCACTTCGCCTCTCTCTAGCATTTCTTTACTCTAACAGTACTACCAGTAGTCAAAGGTCAACGGGAATGATCTACGGAGAACTACTCGGCATTGAATTCAATTAAGCTGAAGCTACAGTCGAAACAACAGAAGAAGGACAAGCGGTGAAAAGCAACTATTTCTTATTACTACGTTTCGAATATAGGCGAAAAAAGAATCGGGTATGTTCATACCAGGCCTTGTTTCTTTCATCATCCAATCGAACAACATCTCTCGTTCAAGGTTACTGTACTCTCCTTTAATGAGGAGTTGTTTCTTGATGTTTAATTTGCCTAGAATATCCTTTTGTATCTCTGGCATTATAATCCAATGCAGATATCGACTTGGCATTATGCTTCAGCTTCTCATTTATACAGGAATAACTGCATCGAAAAAAAACAGAACAAGTATTTGAGAAATTTTCTGTGATCTATTTAAATAACCCTGTTCGCCAGAATTAACCACTTTAGGTTTAAAGTAGGAATGTCTGGCAGAGCGGTAAGGGGTTTCATATGATGCATACATGGCTGTTGGTTCAACCGGGATCGATAAACCAGTAGCATACTTGTCGCAGAAACCGGGATCGATAAACCAGTAGCATACTTGTCGCAGAAAAGCCTCTAGCGATCCACAAAACCAGCAAGCGATCCAGCAGTGTGCTATATACTAAGAAAAGATCTAGGAAGGCAACCTAGAGAATCCCAGAAGAACTATGCTCGACTGGCACTCAATGACACTCATGAAAAAGACGAAATCCTCAAATTACAAGCAACACCTTTGTGGGTAATGTATACAAAACAACGAAGTGAATGGACGAAGTACTGGGATCCCCATAATATATGAAGGCATTCAATTCAAAAAGGATTTCAAAGATATTTAAAAAGAAATATATGTTAATAATCAGTGGGCAAGATGACTCCAACTTTCGTAAGCCATAGCGGCTAACACGACGAATACAACGACAGCATGGATGCGTTTGTCCAGCTGGATGCTGATCGAATTCAGCAGATGAAAATGATGATTTCCAGAAGTTTTCCTAGATTATATCAGGTTGTTTAGAAAGTCCTATAATATAACAACACGTTTCTTAGGAACTACTACAATTATCAATCTTATAAACGACTCAAACATATAATTACCCCCATTGCTTTCGAAAACTAATCATCATTTAACCTCTACATGAATGAGGAATACTTTTAGATTACTTAGCTAACACGAGGTTGAAAGAAGGCAAGACAAGGGCCTCGGTTGGTGTGGTAGACAGTAAGTGAGCCTCCGGTTGAGCTTGAGAAAGTACTATCGGTGGATAAGCTAGAAGTTTGCTCATGTGTATCCACATAGTACTTCCGAATTGTCACCCTTAACACAGTTTACGTTGTATGTATCTAGCAATGATCATAGCTAACAAGCTTTAAACACGATTTACTTCCTAGCGCCCTAATATCTTAACGATTAACACATTTGAAATATAATTCACAATCACGACAACTCTATATTTACGGTTACACGTTTCACACAAAGTTTGCATTAAAATCACCAAGTGCACTCAGTATATGTAAACATTATTGGGACAACCTAAACAGAAATATTTTTTCATTGGTTGCATGTAGTGTTGACCTGCGTGCTTTGTTTACAATGGGGTAGGTGGAGATGGATATCCGTCGAAAGTAGGTGATGGACGTGGAAGTCCCATATGTACTAGTGGACCTCCAAAACCACATGGAGCTGGTGACAGTGGGGTTTGTCATCCATTTGGAGACGATGGGTCGGAACGAGTTACAAGGAACAGTCCTGAAGGTATTCGGTTGAAAAAAAAATACTTAACACACATACATTAGTAAGCTTTACAGTTACAAGGCTTATAAACTTCTCAGTACGTGTCAGACAACGTTTACATATCCACTTAGTGGATTTGAAGGAGTGGTGTCTCCAAGTGATGAGATACTGACCTCAGAAACAATGTGAAGAACGTGCGTGGAAGCATGACACATCTGCCTTTGCTTTCTTGGTCGCTTCTCGCTTCTGCGCATCTAACGGGGATTGTTCCTCCATCGATCCATAAATAACCCATTAAAGAATTTTCGAATGGATTCACGAAGTGCCATGGGAAATCTTTGGCACGTTTGCAGTGATTCGCACGTAGTTATTACGACATGGGTACCTGTCTTGTGTGACCTCAACTACAGAGCAATACAGTTCACGACGGGGTTAAATGAAAGTTGGTTTCCTAAAGTGAACATACGCAGCGACAACCTTGTATATTTCTATGCAAAAAAATTCCAGCAGCTCACGCCCCACTTGCTAGATCGCACCCCATACACTCATAAGCACTGAAACAAATAAATTCATTTTACAAAACTTTATAGTAAGCACTTCCCACATAGCATCTCCACAAACTAAAACACTCAGAACTAACACTTCTCACAGTTGTAAAAACCTAAGATTTCTACAAGCAGCACTCTGCATTACATGTGGATCGCATTCACGTTCTATACTATTTTTACTGTTTACATACCAGGTATAATCGGTTGTTTTGTTGACGACTCATCTGCTAAAGTACAGTAGTAATCGAAGAATTATTGAGAGTTATGGAAAAAATGCCATCGAATTGGGATGTGCAATGTCATTTTGAGAAAGATTTCGTTGTTTTCTAGCTTGCAATCACTGTAATTGTCTACCCTATGAAATAAAAGGATATTAAAACCACATCGCAAACATCATAAGAATCGTTGCAACATTTATTCAACTCCATTAAATGCTAACAGCAGCATGATGGTACAGCAGACGAGTGTATTTCATCCACAGAAAGGATATGCATGTGGACCAAAGTAAGGGTTTGTGTGTAGGAGAGTATGAAGCATGAGGCATATGTAGGATAGGAGAAGTGTGGAAATTTTCGTTGTACGCAGAGAAAACGCGATTTATGGAACGGAAATCACAATAAGAGGATTGGGCTGTGTAAAAACTGCTACAGTGGCCGATATCACATCTATGCTGTCACAGTTCACTTGATTTTACAAACACCCCAACGTTTCTCAGAGCTTTATTATGACCATCCTACGCCTCCTCCGTTACAGAAGTCAAATTTTTGGTCCATTCTACTGTGTTAGCTTGCGAATTATGGTTTCCGTGCAATGTCACTTTTTCGTAAACTTTGCGCAGGAATGTGACATAACACTCCAGCTGAAGAATATAACCGTGGTTTCTTCTACAAGACATTAACCGTGAAAAACAAGAATACCTGCTTCCACGTAACAGATAAACATGCACATTTGCCCCATTGGAAGGACAACGGAATGCCTGTGTTGTACGAAATGCTAAATGCAATGGATAGAAATACCAGACGAGCTGCGATACAGAAGAAGTGGAACAAAACAGAAATGAAGGCGAAGCAATACGTCAAGCCTTGGCTGTATAATCTTGCACCGTCCTTTTTTGAAAACAACAGCCGACAAGCTATTTTCATGTTCCTCACGTCCACGTAACTAAACCAGCAATTAACCCTAAAGAAAAGAGGAACGAGGTGTAAAATTTGAGATCGTTGAAAAAAGAGCACAGCGAAGCACTTATACACTTATAATTCATTCGGAAAATTCATGATTTAAAAGAATAAAAGAATAGCCGGTCTCGAAGAGAGCAGCTGAGAGACGAAAGGTCTGCTAGCAGGCTTGAGGGAGGAATTCGAGAAAACTTTGTCCTAAATCCACTCCTACTTTGAAAGAGTCAATTATAATAAGAACGAACTCTATCAGAAAAGATGAAAAGTGACACATTCATCAGATAGTATAAAACTTGACGTCAATCTGCATATTCTACAGTTCTAGCATTTACATCTAGACTGACAACCAGCAAAAATAAATTTGTGTCGCTCACAAACGTCTATTTTTCTCTATCTGAAGATTCTACAGTTTTAAATCTTCTTACCCTGTTTCTTCTACAATGGCTGAGTTGTCATCAGTTATTGTAAACACCAGTTATCGCCAATCTAGCCAGTTTGAAAAAGGAAGGAACGATCGCGACCAGCATGGAAAAAGCCGACTGGTGCTATCCACTTGCCGTTGCACTCCTTTGTAGCCGTTATACGCGCCAAACAGTCGAAGATAAGGTGGCCGGACACGTAATGCGTATGAATGACAACCGCTAGGCAAGAGCCGTTAGTGACTGGAGCCTCGGGCATGATGGAAAATCTCCCTGTGATCCACAATGGTGACATCTGCCTGTGGTGATGACGGCCTGGCCGACCTCAGAACTCCGGCGAAACACAATCGTTAAACAAGCAAGCCACCGAAAAAATGGAAATTATGCTGTGGCCCATAACCACTGAGGATGAGTCGTCCAAGTATCCAAGTGTTCCCTTTAAAACGCACCTGATTTGGAAGACTACAAAGAGTGTGTTGGGAACATTTCTTGAATCGGAGACACATGTTACAAAAATCTATGAGTAAAGCACTCAACAAAAACCAAATATAACTGACTGGTAACACTGATTACATGCACTTTGATTCAAATAAAAATTGAACACACTCATGACTTCGATTTTTCGATAAATGTCAGTAATCGTTCAATCATTACAGCAGCTGAGGAGATGACAAAATCGCTGGCATATACAGGCTCTGCTCTAAAATATTAGGTGTACAGTTAGTCATCGTATAAAAATTCTAAGGTTTCCAAACCAAATTTGGTAATTGCGGCCACGAACGATTCAGTGAGGAACACCATCGCATTCTTTTGGACGGAATCCCGCCTATCTTTTTACATACTTCCTGTATGTATCCTTTTTTTGATGAGCTTACACGAGGTTGATAAGCTTCGACCTAAGACCTTAGCCTTGAGCCTTGAGCCTCAACCTCGTGTAAGCTCACAAAAGAACGAATACGTATAAAGATTGTATTCAATAAAAAAGGCATAATAGGACACGTATGTGGTGACGCTGATCGTCCAGTATGACTTGATTTCAATTCGTACGAGTTTCGACAAAAAACAAATGTCGGTCAGATGTGACAGTGACACAAATTACTCATCGCAATCTAAGCATTAGGAAACGGATTCTCATGCAAGAAAATTACAGGGACTCACCACGTTAGCAGACTATTTTCCTAAGATGCCTACAATGAGAGCCTACTCAACATCATAACCACTCCACCACTCAACTACAAAGCCTCTTTGCTTCTGCATCATACTCATTGACTTCGATACTTCCAGTGATAGGTGCAAGATGTATACTTGTCCTGAGTTTAAGGCACCACACTGTTGACTCACCGTGGCTGCATATTCAACAGAGTACTCGTTTTATGCATTTTCTATTTTTTTTATTTAATCCGTATTCACGTCTACTATGCGAATCCCAGTAC